ATACATCGTTCGTGAAAATTAAGTTCTTTGGCTAAAATTCATCTTTGAGTGAACAAGGGTAAAATAGAGTTCTTTTCAGTGTGCCACCAGTCACATTCATTGAAATGAAATTGAGAAATCGTTTGGTATTTTTGTTAAAACAATTTTATACATTAGTTATCGTTTCATGTTAAATAATATCTTTCGCTGTTTATAGGTTTCGATAGTTAAAATTCACAATTGATGACACAATGGAATGGCCCATTTGCAATTATAGCAGCGGAGTAAGAGCGCGCTATAGAAATGAATTCACAAAGATATGCGGAGATGTCGCGCATAGTAACCATGGGCGCATCTATGTCTGCTTCTGGTTGGATTGTTGAACCACAAGCCAGAATTCCTCCTATTACTGAAGAACTGATTCTCAATCCAGTTAACGCAATAACAGCTTATTGCAAGCCATTGAAAATATGAATTTTTTTTAAATCCACCACCTGTTGCGCTTGCTTCTGCCTTCGGCCGCGCCTAGGGATTATAACCCTTATTAAGAAGAATTCTCCGTGATTCCGGAGAAGATGGGCTTCCGCAATTCCGAAAAGGTATACATATATGTGCATATAACTCCGGCTACACCATCCACAGTATTTTTGCGCAGAACCCACATTGAAATTTCCAAAAAATACATAGTACTAACCGAATTTATTAATAAACTAGAGCTCGGAAATTTGCTACCTTTATTATACCTTTCATGAGCATGAGTATCATAACTTTGGTCCGATGTTTGTAAGTACCAGAATAAAAAGAGATAGACCCATTAAAATGTATACTTATATGATCAGAACGTCGAGCTGAGTCGATTGAGCCATGTCCGTCTGTCTGTCTGTCTGTCCGTCTGTCTGTCTGTCTGTCTGTCTGTCTGTCTGTCGGTCTGTCTGTCTGTCTGTCTGTTTGTATGCAATCTAGTTTNGAAATTTTGCACTGTTGTCCCTCATTATCAAAAGAATACTTTCAGTGAAAATGGCGAAGATCGGGTTGCTATAACCTATAGCCTCCATACAACTGATTATTCAGATATGAGATTTTTTGCCATAGCTCCTCCATTTATGCAGCTAGGAACATGAAATTTCGCACCGTTCTACTCATTACTAACAGAATACTTACAGTGAAAATTACAAAGATCGGGTGACTATAACATATATCTCCCATTCAACTGATTGTTCAGATATGAGAATTTTCGTTATAACTCCTCCATTTATGTAGCTGGGAATATCAAAAGAATACAGTGAAAATGGTGAAGATTTGGTCGCTATAACCTATAGCCTCCATACAACTGATTGTTCAGATATGAGATTTTTTGTTATAAATTATCCATTTATGCAGCTAGAAACATTAATTTCGCTCTATTTTCACTCATTATCAATAGAAAGTTTACAGTAAAATTAACAAAGATCCGGTCGCTATAACCTATTTATTGCCTCCATACCACAGATTGTTCAGATACCAGTTTTTCGATATATCTCCTTTATGTTGGAAGCTAAACCCATTAAATTGTGTTACCGGTTTACATACCGATCACACAGTAGTGAAAATCACTTAGATTGGTGCTATATAAGGTATATCTTTCATACCTTTGATTGTTTAGATATAATTTTTTATATATGTATCTCCTCTATATAAGTATGTATGCCGTGAATAACATAACTGGGCTATTTGACTACACGCGTATGTTAAAGTTTTTATATTCGGGTTTGGACACAACAACCGAAAAACATTGTGCAAATAACTAAATCGGACCCAAGTTTCTCGATAAGGAGCAACGAACATTCTTATTTATTCGTTTATATAAAACAGTAAATAAAAGGCAAATTCATCTGTTTAAATGAACACCACTAATATTTCCTGCAAACACACGTCGATTTAAATCTTTTATCTCGCTTCCGGCACAGAATTGCTTTCTTACAAAAGTAGCGTTCCCCAACTGTTCTGGGTTAAAACCTGTAAAACTGTCAGAAGGCAAAAGAAGCCAGAGAACCGAGTACGGGAACGCTTTCTGGTAAATTCCTGTAAATTCTTGCAACTTCTTGTGAGTTAGGGAACGCAACTAAAATTAAGCAAAGAAGCTGTCAATTTCTTACTCCTTCGTTTTCAGGCATGCCATTGTTACGAATTTCGAAAGTTCGAAAATATGATTCGGATTGCAGAATAATATATCTACGATTCGTAGCAAAATCCGAATACGAAAGAGTTGAGGAATAGAGTTGAATATATATACGTACATACATACATTAGACCATGGCAAAAACCAATCTTACAATGCATACATGATTGTCTTTTTTTTCTGTTTGAACACAAGTTTTTTTGTTGAAAGTGAAAATTGTGATACAAATTTTACACATATGTACATATTTCTTTGGTTAAACCCTGCATGACTTTGAATCCAATTAAAAGTTAGCCATAATAAGTTTGCCAAAAGTTGGCTATTTTAAAAGTCGACAACGAATTCCCGAAATGGCAAAGTTTTATATTTTTGGTGGATTTTAGTAAAATGTGTTGATATTTTATAATTTTTGCACAAGGTATGAAATGTGGATTTATGTGGTGCTTGTTATATAATGCGCTAGACTTTTATAAAAAAATATTTAAGATCGAATAAAAAAAATATATAAATATAGCCAAAACTAGTCAAACTAAAGTTTCTATTATATCTTCCATCACTCCATTTTATTGTTGAACTCCAACACACTGAACAGATAGGTTACTGTCAATATATCGATGGTCCTGTGCAATAACGACACAACTCAAAATTAAAAAAATAAAAACTGTTACTACTGTTAAGTGGCTCTTGTCTCTAATCCTTGTCTAATCCATTGCTAAAGTAAGTACAAAATATTAGACATGGATTTGACAAGGATCAGAGACATGAGCTACTTAACAGTAGTAACAGTTTTTATATTTTGAATTTTGAATTGTGTCGTTATTGCACCAGTACCATCGATATGTGGAAGCATTAAATATCTGATTTATTTTAGAAATATTAAATTTATTTAACATATGGCTGAGGCTCAAAATTTAATAATAGCGGTCGCCTACTAAAAGGAGAATTACCACGTTAATTTTTGTCGTGAATAACAGCTTCTTTTAAGTATATAGTTAGCGTTCGGAGTCGGAGTCGGCGCAAAACTATAGGTTCATCCTCTTTGTGCGACGACATCAAGGCGCACATCACAAATCGGACAAAAAGCTCGGCCAAACAATAACATAATAGGGATATTCTCTTAGTCTTGCAAAGCCCTTGCATGGTGCACAGATTGCACTTAAAAAACAGCTTTCATATGGGACAGCTTTATAAACTCTGCAATTTGTTCACCGTTCAAGGGCTTTGCAAGACTCAGTAAATACCCCTAATGAGTAATCGCCAATCGATTATTATTAATACTTGAAAGCTTTCTGCAAACAGCCAAACCCCGAACACGCTTCATGTGTATATTAGTGATGTAAATTTTCGATACTTTCAAGTATCGATCGATACTCGATACTTTTGCATTATTCCGTTAAAAATCCTTTATACCAAAACCGATAAAAATCGTATGACTTTTAATATTATGTTCTTACTCATAGTGACTTTTTTTAGTAAAAATGTTTTCATTCGAAAATTTTGCATAAAAACAACTGAACTGCTGTTGAAGCTTATTGTTATCTATATATACTTATATATATGGGGATATACTTTTCCCCTTCTTTCCAACGCTAAAAACTTTTGTGAGCTTGCTTAGAGTTTTGATCAAAATCACTCCAACGAGAATTGCCGCTTGTTTGATCCAAGTTGTGTTCTGGTAAATTATAATTTTGACACCTGTTTATACACTGTTCCTCAACCATTCTCCATTCAACCATTGTAAATTTTGCAACCCGTTACTTTGCTTTGGCGCCGCTTGCTATGAAAATATATTTATATAACGATGATGTTTGAGTATCGAAGTATCGAAATATTTTGTCAATACTTACCGAATACTCAAATTGCTCAACAGTATCAAATACATACTATTCGATACTCGATAATATTCACATCACTAGTGTATATGCATAGTTGGGCTTAAGTTGTCGGACAGAGCGTATGAGTAACTCCTTAAAATTTTTAGTCTCAAAATATACGTAAGAATATAGTATGTATGTCGAACTTTTTGCAAACTTTGAAGGGCCTGGCAGAAGTTACTGCCAACGAGGAGTGTCTGGCAATACTTAATATTGCGTTTAGAATACTAATATTTAATATTCTCTAAAATATACATACTTATGTACATAGATGCATTTACAAAAATTTGAAGTTTGAATTTAAATAAAGAAGTTAATGTTTTAATTGAATTTAATCGGACTGTCTACTCAAGCTGGCGGTTAAGTGTACATTCCAGACTTAAAAAAAAAAATGTAAAACAAAAAAACCTTTTCTCACAGAAAAAAATATTACTCCTCACAAAGAAGATTAAACAAGAAGATTTACATCGCATCACCCGGGTATTTTACATTTAATCGGCACCGATATATTTATGTATATTATCCGGGTACCCGGGCAAATCGGGTAATACCCGGCTTCACGGGTAATAAAAACCTCGGTTAAGCGGGTTCGTGGGTATCCTCAGCCCTACTTCAAACACATTTTTTGAGAAGAAAATTTGTGTTTAAATGGCATATAAATTTTAAAAGTCACTTAAGAGACAGCCGTTGTATCAATATTGAATTTTTTAGTTAAATATCTCATACATAGTGAACAACTAGGCAAAAATAATTTGAAAAGATTAGCTGGTGGTTCACTTCCGTCATCTTTTACATCATCTTGAGCGTTCATAGATACCACAGGAAACCCCCTTACTTATAGTTGCATTTGATTTGATATCTGTCGAAAGTACTTTGTGCCCAATAGTATGCATGTCTTTAACTTACGATTAGTCATAGGTAAAATTTTTTGCAAAAAAAAGTACCGGCTTGTATGTAATTTACATTATTACAATTTCGTTTCTTTTAAGTATTGTGCTTTGTTTACAATATTATGCGTCACACAAGCTTATATTGTTACACATCTCGCAGCGAGCAATATAATCACAGCCACAGTTCAAAATGTGGAGTTGCTTTGGGAAAGAGAAATGGTGAGCGAAGGTCCCATGGCGAGCATTGAAAGTCGGGTGAGTACAAATGTATAACTTTTTTAGTGCGCATGCTTAAAACCCTTAGATCTTCCGAGATCTTTGAAGAGATTAAAAAAATATTTTGGAGAGAGGCTGTCACCTTTTTAAATAGTTACAAATACGTTTATTTAAAAAAATTTATGATTATTTAATATCACAATGTGGGTATCACAGGGAAGGTGTTTGAACAAGCTTTAACACTAACATTTCTTTGAGTAGGGTTGGCTATCTATCAACTAAGGTCATCATTGTTATTATTTAACTTCTATTATTTAAATAAAAATAAAGATACGAATGTAATTGAAAAATTTTAAGTGGTCAAATTTTATGTCAAAGTGTTTTTGTGGATTTTAAGAATTCTTTAAAAATTTTACTTGTTATTAGCCTGCAAATTGCCACATTCACAGTATCTAGGGCCTACCACGAAGAGGTTACAGGAATAAAACACCCTACTTTTTATTTAGTTTTTACTTTTTCTTTTTAATAATTTATTTACGGAAGAAAAACTCAATAACTTAAAAAAAATCAAAAATGCTTTCATTATTTCATTTTTTTTGTTTTTTGTTTCCTAGAGCTATTTTAACATCTGCAATTAGATTAGTTTTGTCAAAAGAGGCAAAACTAGTTAATCTTCATCATTGTATCAATCTTGTGTAAATAGAAACTTAGACATTTTAATAGAGTGTTTCAGAGGAATTATTTGGAAAAAATTGTAAGTAATTTTTTTGTCAAGAAGTGTCGCCCTGAGTTTAAATGGTTGTAAATTATAAAATATATAAAAAGTATGCGCAACAAATAAGTAAAAACAGGAACTTTTTGCAAAAATTAATTTACTACAAAATATACAAAAATATGCAATAACGATTGAATTCCATTTTAAAAGCAGTGCCATGATTCGTAACTTTATAATTTTTATTTGAAGATGCCCAATAAGGGTCAAATTCACAGTGAAGTTAACTCAGAATCATGCATTTGTATCGTGTTTTAAAACAAAAAATAATTGTCAATATATTTTCTTACAGTCATTTTTGTAAGACTTATTGTTTATTTAAACAAATTCAAGAGCTAGATCTGCAGTTTTAGATTTCATTTATAAATTTATCAAATTTTTATAAATAAAGCTTACAGCACTATTATATATCTCAAACGAAAGGCAGCACGAACGATTCGTCCGAAGAGGAATGCTTCAAAAATTAGACCAGCGGCATCATTCCAGCCGGTTAAACGTAACCGAGACGATAGCAACGTAATCAATGTAAAGCAAGACGAAGATGGCCGATAAAGTAATAAAATCGCAATCAGAGGCGTCGTTGATTTTTGGCCACTTTTTACCATGCAACGGAAGTATTTAGAAAGGATAAAAAACTATATTTAATAAATACGTGCGCCAAAAATTTTTTTTTCGGCTTCACCCGAACTAAGACTTCTTTACCCGTTTTTATTTCCTTACATACTACAGAAATTTGTATTACTATTAAAATTAAGATTAGCTTAAGAACCCTCTTCGTATTCGACTTGCTGTTCATGCTCGTCCTCGGACACGAATTTTAAAGTTAGCTAAATTCGAGCTATGCCGAACTGCTATAGGGTACTGAAGAGGAAAGCGAAACGTATTTGCCGCAATAGTTAAGAAGAGAGATACCGAAATACGTGAGTGCGAAGAGCTGGAAATACTGGCTAACAAGCAAAACGCCCAAAAATTTTACCAGAGATTTATACCATGTCCCCAACGGAGCTAACCACGTATTCATGGCTGTTGAGTTGGTTATCTGGATAACCCACTTGATTTAGCGTAGTTTCGCCATATAACAATGACAGCACTTAACCATTTCACTGAGATGGTTAAAAGCTAACCAACTCGAAACCACGTCGAAAGCCTGATACAACCCTGTGTTTTCCCGCCATCTGTGGGTCATTAGCGTTAAGATTTAAAAAAATCCGTTCCTTACTAGTGTTCGGAGTTTACTAAGATCAGATAAGATTTACTTCGGTTTTTGAAAAAAATTTGAAATCTACTCCTCTACCCCGCTTGACTTCAAATCTATTCCGTTTTTTTTTCATTCATGTTATGCCGCTCTTGGGGCTGTTTTTTGAGTGTTCACCACCGGTTTCAGTAAAAAAATTGAAAGTTCCCGTACACTTCTGCATCTGTTCTCCTGTTACTCTCACTAGAGAGAGTAAAATTGTAGTTTGACGTTTCCACAGGTTTTAGTCCGAAAAGTACTGGAACAAACTAAATGTAAAAAATTCGTTCCCTACTAGTGTTTGGGTTTAACTAAGATCAGATTAGATTTACTCCGGTTTTTGAAAAAATTTGAAATCTACTCCTCTACTCCGCTCGACTTCAAATCTATTCCTTTTTTTCATTCATGTTATGCCTTCTTGGGGCCGTGTTTTCAGTGATCACTACCGGTTTCAGTCAAAAAAATGAAAGTTAGCCAAATCTCACTGTTAAAAAGTTGTTTTTCATAGCAATGCGTCAATAAAGTAACTTCGTTACTTAATGATGTATGGCTGTAGAAATTGGCGGATGCAGAACTTTACTTAAGTTGTTAAAAAATATATGTAGAATGGAATTTATATAAAGTAGAAGAGGTTAGGATCCACCACTGGGATTAATTTTTGCCCTTCGAGAGGGGGATTGATCAGTAGTCTGTGAAATTATCATTACAGGCATTTGTCACAAAGTTTACCGCTTAATGAATTTTTGACAATGGGTCCAGCTCAGCGGAAGAAACAACCTTTATGTGTGATAGAATCGCTTGATCAGGTCTTAACGATATCCTTATAGAGAGTGTATTTTTAAATTTTTCCCAGCCGATTTGTTTCTTTTACGTGTATGCTCTTAAAGTTCCAGGATCACGAGTGTACTTAAAACTTATGTAAAGATAGTCAGATAATGAGTGCTTTGTAGACACCTGCCAATCTCATTGGTGACCTTTGACCTTGAATAATTTTTGTTAGCACCACTAGTATAATTGGGGGATTTTTTTTGCAATTGTATTTCTAAGACCTGTGCCGTTACTAATGTCATTGCTATTATTTAACACTTCCATACCATTGCTATTGCAATTAGCATTACTATAATGTAGGGCTGTGCGATTATTCGATTACTCGAGCAAGTTGGTTAATCAATTATTCGGTTAATCAATTACTCGAGTAATCAAGATTTTGATTACTCAAAACGATGATTAATCGAGTTACTTGAAATATGATTACTCAAAAACAATAATTTTTCTCGTTAAAAGAGTTTGCTTTGGAAAATGCTTATTTTCATTTCTACATTCTGTATATCAAGGCGAATTAATATAAGGTGATAGCAGGAGTACAAAAACAAAAATTTACATGTATTTTGTTTTTGCTTTGGCGGCATAAACTGTCAAAATCTGTAAGAGTGTGTGTAGAAATTCAAACAAAATTTTTCAATTTGATATCAGAAGCCGCACGGCGAAACACATACACAAAATCAGCTGAGCTAGTAACACCACCTTATATAAATTCGCCTTGCTGTATATAAAAAAAAAAATTTGTTTTAATTTTTGAAAACAGAAACGTTGTTTTCAAAGTATCAAGGAACTTTAACTACTTTATACATATGTATGTAAAGAGTTGAAATGTTGATTACTCATTTTACTCGAAATGTTGGTTAATCATAAAGCAAATTACTCAAATATTTTTGTTTTTGGTTAATCAAAAATATTGATTACTCGAGTAACTGAACTTTTGAGTAATCATAATTTCCAATTAATCGAGTAATTGAGTTATTTACTTTATGATTAATTAAAATTTTGAGTAATCAATTAATCGCACAGCCGTACTAACATGTATTATCGTAATATAAATTGATTTTTTGTCCCTTACATTCAATAAGTGCCGGGTGCTCAAAGCCTGGTTGACTCTAATCATCGGTTAACATCGTTATCGTCGTTTTCGACTCCATGCATTTAACACGGTGCCGGTAACGTCGATAATGATGTGTAACCGGGGACTAGTGTCAACCAGGCTTTGAGCAACCGGCCATAACCAGATCGGACTCTAAAAAAAATTCTGTGTGGAAGAATCTGGAAAAAATGTGGTAGATCTCAAAAAAATGTGGTATATCTTTGGGTTTGGATCAAACTTTGTACAAAAATTAAAAAAAATCTGCAAGGTTTCACCCAAATGGCAAACTTTTTAATTAGACTCTAAAAAAAATTTATTTTAGTATAATAAAGTGCAAGATTGAAGTTACTAAAAAGTGCGTTGTGTTTTGGAAATTGTTTTCCTTGACAGTGTAAAGCAGTTCCTTCCATATTAAGATATTTTTCGAACATATTTTAAGAGATTTCTGCAACCTTGCGGAGTGCGAACAAATGTGGCACGTTCCAGAAACAGCTAATTGGGATTTGCCAATTTTTACAATTTTCAAGTAAAAGTAAACAACGCCTCAGAAAACTTTCATGCACTTAAATTTGCTAATACTTTCACAAAAATCGCCGTTTATTAACATTTTCGTTATTAATTCTTTTTATAAATCATCTATTTTGCAATTTAACACAATAAAAAAAAAACCAAAAATAAAACTACTCAAAAACGCGAATATGTGGTAGATTTCAGACCTTGAGTGGTAGATGTGGTAGATGCCCAAAAAAGTGGCAGATCTACCACAATGTGGTAGAAGTCCGATCACTGGCCCTAACTCCTGTTTAAGTATTACCGTATTGATTATTTTTACTTCCTCATTTTTAGTTTCACTGCTGTGGCCTACATAACTACAGCGACTACACCTCTACGAATTTGCCTTTGCCGGCTAGTTGCTTTTATACGGAAAACGACGCCTGGATTTATTATACTGATGGCTGTTTGGAGAAAGTAAAATTTGCTGCTGGTAGAGCAAGTGATGCATTGTCCATTGCTGGCTTTCTGCTTACTGCGACACAGGTAAATACATACGGTGGCGAAAATGTTAATAGGGAAGAAACATTTTAGCAAGCTTGGGCTATTTTTCTTTGTTGAAAAAATTATTATTATTTGCTTTTGAAAATATAGTAGCTTGCTATCTAAAAAAACATGTAAATCAAAATTTTGAACTTTGAAGAACAGCCAGTTCGAAAACAGCATATCTCAAAAAAACTTTTCAAAAACGTCCTATACCAGAATTTGGTTGATAAACGCCTTATTTCAGATAGGTCGATCTTCCACTCAGCAGCCGATTTGTAAAGATTCAACGAATTTAAAAACAAAGTTTCTTTAAAATTTTAAAATTTTTAATAAATTTGTCTAGATTTTTTTTTAATATGCAGTTTTGTAGCGCATTGAATTTTAGTGCAATAAATTGACAAAAATCAACGGTAAGTCGCAGTACTTCAAACTTGCACTTTGTTATACCAAAATTGAATCGGCTGTTTCTAAGAAATCTAATTAAAAAGCTCGAAGTTTTGGTGAAACTTTAACGAATTTTACGATAAACAGGGTTCCATTGGATTCTTGGAAATATATAGTGGCCCTGGAACTGAAAATATTCTTAAAATTTTTGAAGTTGATTTGTATAGTGAAGACCAGTAAATTAGGTATTTAAAATTATACCATCGTAATTCTTGTTTAATTCTCTATAATAAACGTGGTTCAAAAAACATGGGCGTTTTTCAAGAATTATTTTTTAAATATTTTTCTTTATGACGAGATGGTTTATTTTGTGAGAATCAACAATTTTTTGTAATTTGTTTTCGAAAACTCATGTTGAGATATAGTTAATTAAACAGTGTTAAATTAAATTTTGAAATTGTATCTATTATTATAAAGTCCTGAAAAATATTAGTAGATACCGGCCATATGTGTACTACACACATCGTTACCTTAATACAGAAAGTCTCTATCTAAATATTTTGTTTCTTTACGGAGTGGTGAAAAACCTGCATACAAAATCAAGTCCCTTTTGCTGCGAATTTCTTTTAGAGGCTGTTTATTTAAGAATGTAGCTAATTTTATGCTATAGTAGACATTTTTAAAATCCAGTAGGTGTTTGGTGAGTTGTCGGCAGACTTTTGTATAATAAATTATTATTATTGAGTAAGGGCTTTTTTATATTAAGGTAACGATATGTATTTACACTGAACATCGTGCATTGTGGACGTTGGTTTCTCAAATATTTTTATTTTATTTTTTCAGGTGATGGCCTTAATATTTTCATCCGCTCTCACTTTAGCGTATTATCGAACTGGAGAGTACCAAGAGTTGTAGTAAAAAGCGAAATTTTAGGTAGACATTTATTATCTTCACATCCCCTAAAAACTTGCAGATTTAAGCACTTCTAAATCTTGATATTTTTCTATCAAAAATAATTTATTAAAAATTAGCGTATAAAAATTAAGAATGTTAAATGTTTTCATATGATTTCTTTTTAGCTATGATATGAGTTTACAATATGTGTATAAGTATTTATGTACATTGTATGTGTATGTACATAAAACAGTATTAGTAGTTTACAACTACTTACCTAAAATTTCTATTTCTAATTTTAAACATAAAATTTCAGATACTGCGAAATTAAAAATTAAATATGAATTTTTGCAATAGTACTTCTTTTAGCACTTTCATTAATTGGAGAGCAAATGGGAGCGCGAGTTGACATGGTTGAAGTGCGGCCCAGGCTGTTGAGCCTCATAGTCATCCTCTGCATTGCCTGTGCGATATGTTGCGCGATGCCGTCTGAAAAGCAAAATGCTCAGAACGCACGAGTAGAGAAAGACAGCGCACTTTAAAAAAAAATGTGGAGAAAGATATTTTTAATACCAATATTAATGCATAAATATGCATATAGGTATATTTCCATATGTATTCTAAGTATTTACTTGAGTGATCAGTAGGGACCAATTGAAAACATTTTCTCGCTCCATGGTCTTATGGTACGTCGTTTCCAGCGCTTCAACACACCCGCGAGTAAATAAATTCGATTCAAGCGTAGCATTTTGGTAGCGATAACAGCTTACGGGCGTTGACATACGTCTGTACCGGTAGTCATTGGCATTATATAGGCCACAGCAGTGATACTGGTGATGATAATAACGATTTTTTAGTTCAGTTAAAATTAAATTAAATATGAGATGAACTAAAATAAAATAGGGTGTAACTAAATAAAACAAAATTAAATTAAATAAGTGTTAGTAAAAAAAATAGAAAGAAAGCATGTAAAATAATATAAAAATACTGAATTAAACTAAATACCGGGTGTTCATACATATTTATGTACTCTATTACTATTTTTTTTGCTACCCTAATATGGGATGCGAAAGTGGTAGTCGTCTAATTTTACCCATTTTCAATGGCCTAATTGCCGTTTTCACGAAAGCAATTAAGTGAAAAATAATTTCTTTTTCTGCTAGTTTCCATATAAAATTCAAATAAAAAAAAACCATTTCCACTTAAATTGCTTTCGTGAAACTGGCTTTTATTGTTAGTCTAATACAAGCATACTAAAAAGTCTCAATTATGTACGAGTATACTTCAGTTAGCTATTATAGAACCATCCGGACCCGACGGACAGTGTTCTATTTTAGAAAAAAAGACAAAATCAAATATGTATCTGGAGAACGAGAAGAGATAGTCGAAGGTCGGTTTTGGTAATTTTCATTAATTTCAAAATGATCAAAAAATTTATAAAAACTGTGAGTTTTTTTGAGTTGTACTTAACTTAATGTTCAGGCAGTTGTTTTTAAAATTTATTAGATTTTTAGTAAGTAATCTAGTGACTTTATCAATCATTTATTTCAGACATATACTGCCGGGAAAAAGTATTGGCACACAGAATTTTTTACAGTATATACAACAATATTTTATATAAATTTTTTCCGCTAAAAAATTATAGTACTACAAAAAAAACATAAAAATATAATTTATGAACTTTATGCAAAAATCAGCAAAATTCAATAAATTTTCGTGCAAATTTTTTAGAATTTTTGTGAGTCTGCAGTTTTGTAGACCAATAAATTGTATTATAATGAAGTGCAAGTTCAATGAACCTAAAACTTAAAGTAGATTTTTGGCAATTTATTTTCATGCAGTTTCTTCCATACAAAAAAAAAGCATTTCAAAAATTTTTTGTATGGAAAAAATGCGAAACACCTCCAACAACAAAGTGGAACGAACGACATTTTTATAAAAAATTGGTGAAAAATTTTGAACAAATATTGTTGCATATATTTTGAAAAAATTTCCGTGCCATTACTTTTTTCGGACAGTGTACTTTTACAAAAAAAAATATTAAAACCTGGGCCCAAATTTTCAGTGCATGTTTAAACTTAGATCAGGTGAATTGCGTTCATAACAGCTGGCTGACATTTAATTCGCTAATCTTAGTTTAAGCCACCTAGCTCGAGCGTTTAAACTAAGCTAAACCGCAGTCAGATTTAAACATTTACTTAAATTATGTAAGTCATCTTAACAAAGAATAAAAAAAACATTACTTCACTTCACTTACATTTAACTCCACCGAGTGCATTGTCTCTGGATCTACACCAACTTCATCCCATGCGTCCTCCAGCAGATCCAGCGCATTCGTGAAGAACTTCTGATGTTTATACGTCTGCATTTGCAGCAATTGTGCTGCCAACAACATCAGCATGAAGAACGAGTACTTTGAGGTGTAAATTTTTTGCAAATAAAAAGGTGAGTATGTAAGTAAATAAACAAAAACTCCAAGCAAAACAGAACACAATAACTCACAATTACACTGACGCCTAACGACTCGCAGACAACACCATAACAGCCAAAAAGCGTGGCCATGCATACAAAAGAGCCCAAAATGATACCAACTATACAGTAGGTGTGCTCGTCCGTATTCGGTATGGCATACTCCAAGCCGAAAGTGTTCAAACAAACAATGCAAATGCCAAGTATCTGTGCAAAGAGGTGAAATAAATAATAGCAATATTAGCGCAAATGGCAAATAAATAAACAAACAATAATAATAATATTAAATATTTAGGTCAATCAGTCAGTAACACGACAAGTGCTGATTTTAATGCCGCTAGTGGGTGTAGTTGTCGATAATAAAAGCAAACAGTTTTGTTTTTTTGCATGGCATTTTTTTTATTATATTTTGTCTTATGTGCTTACCAAACTAAAAAAATTAAAAGCGAATACAAAACACTTGACAGTCGAAAGGATTACACTCATTTTATATGTTTTAGTTTAACGTCTCACTTAGCCGGTGTAATTTAGTTAAAAAAATATTTATAAAAATATTAATATTTATTGTCTAGCTATGCAAACGATTTGTTTCCTTACACACCAAAGTCGTAACTGAAGTCGATGTCAGAAAATTGTATGTAAAATAAATATTAACATTGCTTGTCAATGAAACAGGGCGATATTTTTTCTCTATTATTCAGTTATTCTATTTTTGGTATTACACCCAACAAACATTATAACGAAGAAGAGCGCAAGATGTACCCGGATTAGCCGGGCTCTAACCGGTTGCCCAAGAAACAAGCTCGTTGAGGTCCCCTGGTCGCTTTCTGGGTACACTTGAGGTGTGGACAAAGATCCTTATTCGTGGCTTACAAGGTGTTTGGCCGGTCGCTGGAAAACTACACTAAGCTAATGTGCAATGAAGGGACCAGCATATTATGGACCTCGACAAAATAAGCAAACCGCAGCTGAACCTACGGATGCCGACTAGCATTTCATGCCCTCGGAACATCGGCTCCACGGCGAAATGAAGATGCGAAATACCCAGCACGTTGTTTTCGAAGCAGTCCCTCTTAGGATGCCACCGGGGTAACGAGAACAAACACGCACTGCTTCGTAACGATTGTTAGGCGTACACGTGAAAAGGCGCCTCCTCGTCTGAAAATACGATACTAAGCCATTCTCGAAGAAACAACACAACAGAGCATATAGATATAGTGCGTTGGAGGCACCTCAATAGCTAATACGACATCAGCCACATATTTGCATGTCCGTCTCACTTGACCGCCCTGACGCCCGAAGCCTTGTGGTCAGAACCCATCAGCGCAGCGCTGTTCTCAGGCCTCATGCTCCACAAGTGGGATAAAAAAGAGGTCAGTCTCCACTAGTCTGAGTTTTGACAGGTCTAATCAGCACATTGCTCTATGAACTCATATGTAGTACATAAAAGGGGTTTGGCGTTTTAAGTTTGTAGAAAATTTTGGTTGTACCGAAACAAATTAGTGCATTTCACAAAGTATTTGCGTTAGGTTTATATGCTTTATCTCGCTAGGGTCTGAGAGAGCTTATTGAGAAATGTTGACCAGTCACATTGAGTGATGATAGACTTGCGCATCAGACATCTCGTTTTCATCCATTTCGTTATGACCTTATGATGGCAGATATTTGGTCATTTGTCTGTGGGGTATTTTACTTCTGCACTGTGGCACACAAAGCTGCAGACTCTGTTGGAACGAGTGTTAAAGTGCAAGCTGCAAACATAACACAACAGCTCCAACGGCCCCATATATTTTGATACCATCTCTAAAGAAAATGAGCGAATCCACTAAGTGTCATCGTCAATTTCACCTAACGGTAGATTTGGGAGATAAACCATGATTCAATAATCATGAATAAACAGTTTCGACAGGATAGAACTATCAAAAGAGGAGGGTTACATGAATTGGTCTAAATGGTCCTTTGGCATGGACGTTTGTGGTGTATGTCCTGATGCATTCTGGATGTGCAGGATTTTAGCCTGCTATAATACTCAGATCATAATTAGCGCGAGTCTCACGAGACAACACGAGCTCTTCGTCGTTGGTCTCCGGAGATGGCACTCACGATGAGACGATCTCTGATGTGCCTAGGAGGGGGCTCGGCTTTAAGAAAGGACCAGCATTATATATAGTCAACGTACTATAGGTGGCATCAGGAAATAACATCCTGTGACAGGTTTATGTGCGGTATTCTGACAGATCTGAAACATCGTCCACTGCGCCCTACTTCTCTTCGGCAACCACACCGAGACAGTACAGATGTACATGCATCTCTTTCTATTTATTATTGCATGAAGCCGTTTCTCCAAATTGGTTTCGGTAACAATCATTTAGTCTCGTTAAATGTCTTAGCTCTCCTGTAACATTTAGTCTTAAAATCCGACCAGTGCATGGCTAATAATTCCGTAGGATACAGGCCCCAAAATGTATTGCATTTGAGGAAGTTATTAACTAAGAGACTAGTTTTGGAGTATTAAACCTCATATAACTGCGAGGTTGATGCAATGGGATATATTAGGACATAAGCCATATGCCTGAGCATTGCATACGTATAAGTAGTTAGTAGCATTCGACCTTCCGGTCCGTTTACTGTACTCGTAATCATTGAGTACAGACATCTTCTTGTAAAGGTGATGGCTAAATCGTTTACCCGTGCGCCCATATTTTGGCTTATTGGGCATTTTGTTGTATAAAAATATTGCTATAAGTAGTACCTTTTCGTATCAATTTGCGCATGTTAATGAACTTCGTTAGTGATAACAGCCGTATGTATTAATATTCAATGCACTAACACACATAATTATACATACTAACTGAAGAGATTCTGCACGCAGACCTTTGGCTATTAAGCTAAGCGTTCAGTGCTCATTTGCATTTACGCTAACACTTCGAATAATTGTTAGGAGTGTACGTGAAGGGACAGCGATTATGTGCATATGGAAATTGTGTACCTCTTATATGTATATAAAAAGACTATGTGTTTCTGTTGGTATGACGTTTATAGACTCCAGAACCACTGACCCGAATGCGTTCAAATCAGTGTTGGAACAAGGTTAATCTGATTAACGATTAAAGTGTTAATTGCGATAAATTATTAAATACAATAAATGTCACCTAGGTCGGTTACTTCATCAATCGTTGTCACCAAGCTTAACTAACGGTAGGCCCAAGAAAGGAGCTGTTTCGACGAGGTCGGACCAAAGGGTGTTATATGAGTTGGACTGAGCTAAAATGTAAAGAGGTGTTGAGTGTCGTGGGTAGGTTCCACATGATGGACACTAATTGGGGATATCGGGGTCGAGTCTTTATAAATGTCTGTTGAGACGACTACAATATTCTGACCGTAATTGGGCCAGAGTAGCGCGGATTTCTCGTAGTAGTCGAAGCTCAGAGTCTACCATAGGTGGAGATTGGACTCCGATTGCGCAGTAAATAGATCGTGAGTCGTGGTAGGTAGTGACCGATTCTTTATGAATGCCGTTGAACACTTCATGCACACGGAAAGATTCCTTCCTTCGTCCAGGTGATGAAGAGGTTCGCCGTTGATTTCGTTGGTGAGAGGGTTGGGCTCCTTGGAGTGAAGAAGCGAGATAGGTCGGGGAGGTAGAGGTTTACTTTCGAGCAGAGGTCATCAATTCAATTTTCAGACGCCAATATCGAACAGTCCTCAGCGTATGAGATCAGGGAAATTCCCCACAGTGGCAGAAGAAGCTTCAAGGTATGGAAGTTAAACAGTACGGGGGAGGACAAAACCCTGTGGAGCCCCTTGCTTAGTTCTTCTAGGTTTTAAATTTTGAAATTAATGTCGTTCGACAATTCGAGAGCAAATTTGAATAATGTCTTTGCGCAAACTGCCTGGTAAATATTTATTGGTCCAAGAGCGAACGTTTATATTGAATTTACACGTGAAGGATCAAAAGTCATATTCGGAAATGGCCAAGCTCACGTCCTCCAGCCGCTTAACTGTCCAATTCATAATAAGACGCTTTAAAAATGAGGGCAGCCTACAGTACTCATGCATGGAGATTGACTACAAATAAAACGTATGGTGTCTGAGCGAGGATCCATTCATTAGTGTAGCAAAAATCAGTGCAACACTTCTTCAATCCAAACAAAAAGAAGTTCATCCTGAAACTATGTATATGAGAAGCAGTGCATGATGTCGGGTTTGAAAATTATCCTGATAGGTGGTGCTTGAGTGTAGATATCTCTAAAAACCGTATTTGCAGTTATTTAAAATCCGATTTGATTCTAATTGAGGACTATATTAGCCACGTGCATAAATAGCAATACTTTTTACGATAAGTGTCACTGGAGTCAGGGGCATGTCTATAATTGGTAAATGATGCTAATTTAGAACTACGTATGTAGCAATTTTTCCAAAAAACCATAGGTTCTGTTTGCCGGCACCGTCAGTAATTCCACATGAAAGGCCAACTGGTGAACTAAACGCATGGCTAAATTCTTCCATAATTTGTAACTTATTAATATTTTAAAAACCTTAATGTGCTTAATTTTAACACCAATTAAATAGCACGAGTGGCGTTGGGTGACAAAAATATTGATGTTTATTCCTTTAAAAAAGTTTTTCAGAACTGAATCGAGTACAAAATAGTTGCTAATACTATAATGAAAGGCTAAGCTGTCATACTATTTCCACTGAACGTTTAAATTCACTAGAAGCGCCAAAAACTCGAACGAGCCGACCGATAAAAGAAAATTAAATAATTTAATTGAAACGATTGTTATTCCTTAGAAATATAAATGTAAAGGTTTACTCCTGCATGGCGCATATTTTACACATTGGCTACAATGTGTTCTATGTTCACGTGTTGGCAACCCACCGATTTATTGATTTACACGCCAGATGGGCAAAAATAGCAAAATATATCGCCTCTTCATAAGCATTGCAATATGTTTCTTATATGTATTGAGATATATATTTTTTATTTATTTAGCTAGAACTGCATCTTTACATTTGTAGGGTGTAGCCATGATACAAAAATCTATAAATATTTGAATCATGGGGTGCTGCGAAGCGCGCCAGGCAAGCTAGTGTAAACATAATTTCGGTTTTGCTTAAATACTTAATTGTATTTTATCCCGAATATACGTTTTCTCGTATACTTAATTCATTCCACAGCAAAACGAAATGCTTGTGATTATAAATAAGCAAGTGATTCAAAATTATTTAATACATCTAATTACGCGTGCGCCTGTAAAAGATAATATAAAAAATCCATTGTTATTTTCGTGTTTAATTGGCAAAAGAAGAATTTATTTAATTTTAAAGCAGCAGTAAGCTGTTCGTAAATAGCAGCATTAGCAGTTGACAACTTCAATTTGATTTAGTAGCATTAAGCATTGAGTTAACTAACAAGTTTAGCAAGAGAATTTGATTACCTTCTATATTTTAATAAAACTTATCAACTTAATTATATCTAAATATTTTTTGCACGTACTTTCAGTACGCTTCTTAATGTAAACGCTTTTTTGTTTACAAAATTTCATTAAAAATAGTGTTAAAATAAATAGTAGTTTAGTAAATATTTACTACTACTCTAGTCGAACAGGTATTTAATAATAGGTATGTATATCTGTGTATATTGTGGGTAAAAGTACTGATTATGTTTATTGGTGGTTATTGTTGTTGATGTTGTTTCCTTTTTGTTTGCGGTGTTGGTTCTTGGTGGCTGGTATTTCGGTCTCAGTGCTGGACGTAAGAACTAAAGATTTTTTTCTACAAATTTTCAAATAACAAAAAAATATCACAAGTACACTTCGCAAGTGTTCATTACTTCGTGTTTTTCGCTTGTCTCCATGAATTGATGCGTCTTCTCTTCTAACATGATGCTTATCTTAATTTTATCGTAATTGTTTTTAATTTAATTGGCATTTCTAATTGCTTCTGTAAAAAAAATTCGCGCTTTATAATCTTTTGTGATCGCGCGGTTTTGTGAGTGATTTTCTGTAAAACATTTTTAAATTCTCCATGGCAGTGGTATGAGACCCCACTTCTGCGTGATGTCTTTATAATCACATTCAATGGCAACAACGATTTTCTCCACCTTTTCGGTGCGTGGCATTTTGGTTGCTTTCAAGGTGAGGCAAAGTTTTGAATCGCGGTGCGAAATATGCTGAGTCTACAAAAGGGATAACAAACAAAAGCGTGTGCAAAATTAACAATGCATGCAATAGAAAATTACTACCAAATTTGGCTACTCACATCCATGTCGTAGATCCAATACTGCCGCGGATGATCTAAGCACATGGTCAATTGCACATTTGAAGTTAAGTTGCGGCTCTTAAGCTGCTGTATAACTCCTAACTTCGGCTCTCTGTACGTCAGACACACATTATCATTAGTCATGATTTGCCCTTTCGGTGTAACGACATACATATCCATAGACTTGGGATGCGCATTGCAATCGCCAACTGTAGCCGTTTGCAATGCAGTATGCGGCAAATCCTTATCCGTCGGCAGCAAACACTTGTCGCGATCCAAATCGATTAGCGACATAAATTGTTCACCATTGCTTTCGATTTCTTTAAAAATTCGCGGCCACTCGCGCGACAACCGACGTCCTGGTAAATTTTTCATGTGTTTCGTGTATGCCTGCGCACACTCAGTCTCGCCATCTAGCCAAATAATTTTGCCAAAGAAACGATCGGGTGTTGGGAAGAAATGTTCCGGCCATATAGTCTCTAAATACCAGGAAAATGGTTTGCATTGGAGTTTCTCGCGCAGGGAGAGGCGATCGCTGACATCAATCCGTTCACGTGTCTCCAAAGAGAGACCGGATGTGTACAAGAGTATAAAATATTGCCAGTCGTCCATCCAAGTCATAGCGGCGCGCGCTAAATTATTTCCCAACACTTCGCTCATGCCGCCTGGGAAGGTGTACGGTGTAGTGCTGCGGAAAACATGGCCTACGTGCGAACAGGGACAGATTTCGACACGACCTCCACATTGCCACACGCGGAAAGACATCTCAACATTTTCGCCGCCCCAAATCTTAATTGTAGTAGATGACGTTTAATAAATCTTTCTCACAACAATTACTCCTTTAATTCCAATTTTCAAGCACATCCGTACCTTCATCTCTTTGTCGTATGAGCCAATTTCAAAGAAATAGCTCTTGTCGATTGCAAATAGTCCACCAGCCATGGCCGGTGACGCGATCGGCTCAGTGCGGTCACTCTTTGGCGTTGCTCTGTTGCGTCTGGTGCTGTACCATCTAAAACTGAGCTGCCAATTAAAAGCACCCCAATGATTTTCAAATGTTTTTGTATAACTAAAATTATCATCGGAAATTATATCGATAACCGGCGCTACCACATTGGTGCGTGACTCCTTCACACGCTGCAGCAAAGGCTCTAACCAGCCGCGCGTGCACTCGCAGTGCGCATCCAAAAAGGTCAAAACGTCGCCCTTAGCATGCTCGGCGCCCAACAAGCGCGCTGGCACTAAGCCGCCGCGTTTCTGTATGCGCAGCAAACGTGTTGGCACCGTAAGTACTTTAATATAGGCTTCGAGTTGCTTCTTCAGGTAAGCTGTAGAACATAATACATATACAAGTTAGTAAAACAAAAAAGCTTTGAAAGGTTATGTGTTAAATGTGTTAATTACTGCATTTTGACAACGGCTATGAAATTAATTAAAGATATGCAAATTACAATGATGCATAGCTTATTTAAAGTTATTTATCTTGTCAGTTTACTTACAGCGATCGCTAGCATCGTCAACAAGAATTATTTCTTTGATCATTTTACGCGGCGACCGGTTGATAACGCTGGTTATTGTGCGCAAGAGCACCGACCAGGCCTCATTATGAAAAACTATTATCACTGATGTTGTGGGTAGTTCGTTGTGGTCATACCTTTTGTCACGACACCTGTAGCAAAATAAAAACAAAAATATATATACATAAGCCAATTAAGCGTACGCGCTAACACAAATATTTTGTGATGTTTTTCTTTTGATGATTTTACGCCTAGTCAGAATTTCAGGGTCACTGCAATACTAAACATTTGAGTGTGGGCTATTTTTTATACACAAATACTTTTCCGTTTTTTGGTGCATTTTTTGGGCAATGAAGTTGATGATCTTAATGTTTTAGTTTGTTTCGTACTAAGCTTGATTTTCTATGGTCAGTGGATTGTTGTGCACTTACTCTTTTATTCTGTAATCTTTTAACGTACGATTCAAGGGTATACGGTCACTGGCCAGTATATTAAAGCTATTTAGCTTGAAAAATCGTTGCATGCGGAAGCTATCGCGCGCTGGCACTACAACTGGCCGTCCATCAGCACCTTCGCCTTCAATGGGATTGAATAGGTTTATGTTGTAGTCATCTGAAAGAATTTTAGATATTTAAAAAAAACGAGTTATACGCATAAGTTATTATGCACACCTCACATACATATGTGTATACATACAGATGCGATCAACTAATTAGCTACGAAATTCAAAATGATATTGTCTGCAAATTATGTTTATTTATTTTTAGCAATTTTCATATAAATAAAATACTCTATAACAGGAACTACAATAATAGTTTAAAAGCTTACACAAATTGCAAAAAATTTTATCAAATTTCAAAAATCGTCATCAAAATTTCAAAATGTTTAATCAGAATATTAAGAAAAATTTGGGGTATGCAGTTTTGTAGCCCATTCAAATGTAGTATAAGGGCTAGTTTTTAGTCATTAAAAATTACAGATGATTTTTTNTTGCAGATTTTTTGTTTTGTTGAGGGTATTGCTGTTTATTTCCATATAAAAAATGTTGATCATGTGTTATATGGAAGAAAATGCGCAACACCCTCCACAAAAAAATTCTAAAAAATCAACGGTAATTTTTAACGACTAGAGACTTGAACTTTCTTATACTACAATTGAATGGGCTACAAAACTGCATACCCGAAAATTTTCTAAATATTCTAGTTAACAATTTTTTGAAGTTTGATTATCTTTTTTTTGCAATTTGTACAAGCTTTTGAACATTTATTATTGTAGTTCCTGTTATAGATAGAGTATTTTATTTATACGAAAATTGATAAAAATAAATAAACATAATTTGCAGACAATATCGTTTTG